TAGGCCCACTTTTTTTTTTTTTTTGGTAAAATAATATTTTAGTTAAGGCCCCTCATCTGTCCGTTCGTTTAGCAGACTAACCTTCGACTCATACAATTTGTTGCCCTCAAATTATATATACCAATTTCAGCCGCGACTAATTAAGATTTACCTGTGATTTACACTTATGTTATCGATAATATTTGTGATCTAGCTAGCTTAAAGATCATAATTTATTTTTCATAATGATGAATGATGCATATATATAGATAGAGACACGTGCAGTTAGTACTGTTGCGGACACAGAAAGTTACAATAATTATCCGTAATTATTGAAATTGATCATGCAAAAAGTAGATTCCTTTTTTTTTTTTGGTTGATCGCCCTTGATTTTGTAGTTATTAGTATTCTTCAGCGAATAGAAATTTTTTAGACTATTTTCCTTGCTTGCTAAATATCAATATGGATGTTAGTAGTTAATTAATATGAATGGGCATGGTACGTACTGATTGATTCGAGTTAATTAATATCTATAAATAAATATATGAAACCATTTATGATTTGCAAATGAGTTTATGATCTATTTGTGCCACACGATATATCAATATATAAGAATATTTGCTTTGAGAGATAAAACAAGCTCGACAGTTTAAACCCTAATAATATATAGTCATTGGTGGTCAATAAAATTTTAGAGAAAAGTTAGCGGTCAATAATTGTCTACCTACCTTTGATTATACGGTTTTTCTATAGAGTGCCCTTGGGCACTCTATAAGAGAGGAGAGAGATAGAGAGAAATGAATGAGGAGGGGGGCCCCCTGATTTGCATTGGGATCCTCTCTTCATTCATTTCTCTCTCTCTCTCTCCTCTCTTATAGAGTGCCCAAGGGCACTCTATAGAAAAACCGTTGATTATAAACCAGACTTGTTGCTATAATTAGCTATATATTGGGTTTAGTATAGGAGTTCATTAATTGCTATTAATTTCTCTATCGGGGTCCTCCCATGGAATTTAATTAATAGCATAACCTATGTTTCTTTCTGTTTGTTGGATGTTATGATAACGTAGAGGTCTGGAAAAAGCAAATAAGTTGGTGGCCAAGAACCAGCAATTATGCTTGCTTGCTTGGTTGTAAATTGTAATTAGTCCTTTTTGTGACTTCTTTCCCAATTGAACTATGTTAATTATTTTTTAACTCTCATAAAGTATGCTTTTATTTTGCTTCAATAAGTGAGATAACAGACAACGAGCGAGAAATGACTATCTTGAAACAATTACTTAAATCGAAGATAATATGATAATTACAAAATATATATTTTTTTAAAAGGCTTGGCCTAAAAACTGTCCAAAACAGAAAGTTGATCAGGATATAGGAATAAATGTATTATTAGAAAAGTATTGGCGTAAAACTAATTTGATAATTAGAAATATTATTCAATTTGAATCTATTCCTATGTAATAATTGGAGGAACAAAAATTTACTATTCATGTCACAGTAAATACTATAATAAATTACTGTAGTATTATTACTTTGGCACAGCCAGGATGATTCAAGGCCCACCATTCATGTTATAATAATTACTGTAGTGCAGATGTTTAAAAAAATTACTATAGTAATATTATTGTAGCTCAGATAGAAACTATAACATTTAAAAAATATTATTATAATATTTAAATACAAAATTATTGTATCGAAAATAAAGATAGTAAATATGAATACGGAGTAATAAGGGAGGAATTAAAATACTAGAAATCTACACTTTTAGTTACAAGTTAACGTGTTGGTCCTCAAGAGCCCAGATGGCGCCTTCTTCTTGATATTTTTAAGATTTCGAAGAACCTAGCACGTACGTAGTCAATTAATTTGTGACCGACGAGGATATTTTATTATTTTATTCTTGTTCTCAACCAAACGACACCACCTTTGCTGTATAAAAATCTTTCCGCTTGTTATCTTTTCGTGACGCGTGTCAGTTACTCACAATTAAAGGAGATCATATCATCTTTTTTCCGCGACCGTATCCAAATAATCAAATATAATATACTCAAACCCCCTTTGTTCTCTTAATTAAATATATATATTTAGGAATATGCTCAAGTACCCAAAGAAAAATCGCCACGCGGCCAATTGCTTTTAGGGTGGCACTAAGGAGACACCCCCAACCACACTTCCAACCACACCCCCTCTCTCATTTGTTACAGTGCACCGGACCCCACATGAGATTTAAAATGAGAGAGGGTGTGTGGTTGGAAGTGTGGTTGGGAGTGTGTCCCTATCATTTTCCTTGCTTTTATTTCTATAGTCGCGAACAATTCAACAACTGGTCGCGTGATAAATTTTAAGTTGGTGGTGACGTGTAAATATATTTGTATTGCTTGTACTAATATGGTTAAATAGTTGTACTGATTTTATATGTCTTCTTACATCGTATTTTTAAAACTTGTAATAATACTATAGGATTTTCTATATAGCGTCTGTATATAATTAATGGAGATTACTTGTATCTAAAAATATGCAAATCATATCAGAACACATTCTATTTTGTAATATTTCGATGCCTATCCATTTGGAATATGCTTAAGTCAAGTTCTTCGGCCTTGTATATCCTTAGCCTTTTAAATTAAATGGTTGCAATCAAACGATAATTAGGTAGGAAATATTGCTCAAATATTAAAATTTGATTCAGCCACAGGAAGCGTCACAATCAAAATGCGATCTGAAGTACAGTGTTGTTGAGAATCTCTTCAGGCTTCAGCACAAGCTACAAACAAAGTTTTTTCTATACAGGAGAGGAAAAGACAGTTGTACCCTCCTCTGATTAAGCTAAAGATATTTTGCAAAAAACTTTTAAAAAAAAAGTGATTAAGCAATGTTCCCGATAACTGACATCTTTGACCCCACAGCTGGCAGGTAACAGTCGTGTCCGCAGTGCACTTTCCCATGACCGCTCCTCACGCAACTGACACTTTCTGGTTTTCTCTTTGTGTGTTTTCACAACTAACCCGCAAACTCCTTTAAACGGCTGAGATTTATATATGGCATACTCGATTAGGGATGTCCATTCGGGCCTAAGACCCGGGCCTAACCGTGCTGTCTTCGTGAAGTTCAGGCCCAACCCGGGCCTAACCGGGCTGTCTTCTTCCCATATATATGGGAAAATGTTCCTAAGGTGACGCATTAGATAATTATCTAAGGGCGCGGTCTAAAATCACATGATTGAGCTATATTATGGATGATCCGTTCCGTTTTACTTGATCTACATATTCTAAAACCCCAACACACCAAGTTTGGGGTGAACCCGTCGTCGTTTGACCCTTCATCCACTCGTATCAATTTTAACGGTTTCGAATGAACAGAACTTTTTCACATGGCTCGACGCATGGTCAAACAACGATGGGTTCACCCCAAACTTGGTGTGTCGGGGTTATAGAATATGCAGATCAAGTTAAACGGAGCGGATCATCCACAATATAGCTCAATCATGTGATTTTAGACCGCGTCCTTAAATGATTATCTAAAGCTTAAAACGTCAAGATGCAAGATGCAATTCTTGCCCTGGGCAGCTGCACATGGCAAGCCCTTACTCGCTACGCCTCTGGTTTTCCCATAATATATATTAGTGCCCTGTGTGCCCTTACTGGCTACGCCTCTGGTTTTCCCTTAATATATATTAGCTTAACATAGTGTTGGTAATAAGTGGATGTATTATGCGATTGGGAGGTACTAGACGTGCACCCTTGGGCACACTCTCAGCCACCCCCCTCACCTGCTACAGTGTAGGGGCCCCACGATAATGAGTTGACTATCATTAATGATGGTCAACTCATTATCCAATAGGAGGGAGACACCTCACTTGTCCCCTCTATTGGTCCCATATTTTGGGTGCTTGAAGAATTTTTCAAAAGTTATTTACTATTAGATTTCAGCATAAATCTTAAAATTTAATAACCTAACGAGAATTGATATTAAAGTTAGGCGTGAGATTCACTTTGATATGTTTCCCGTACTCACAGAGCGAACCGTTGCGTCCGCTGGGGCCTACTATCCAACAACGCCTGAGTTTGAAACAACAAACAAGAAAAACAGTCGTTATATTCTCAAAATTTCCGTGCAGAATTCCGTGGGGTCAGGTCACGGCACCGCGGAAGTTGCCGGGAACTTTCGCGACCCGTAACGTTCTCAGATAATTCGCCACTAGAAAAAGTTCGCGAATTATTCGCCCGCCTTAATAAGTAAGGTTCGCACCGAAGCGTTAGCTGCTGCAGTGAAAGAGCGAGTGTAGTTCATTTTCACTCCACCGCCCTCGGTTTTTTCCTACTATTTTATGCAACGAAAAAGGTTTTTTTTTTTTTTTGTAGTAAGCCCTAAAAAATCACTGCACGATTCTTTTCTTGTCGATTAAAGGATCCATTTCTTGATGTTTAGGGCGGCTTCATCATCATCTCTCCTGCGACACAGCGATGGATAGGGGTGGGACGGCGCGATCGCGCGAGCCGTTTAGGCAGTCTGCAGGATGTCCGATGTCGCCGAACAGTTACCGCCGGCGTCGAGACGAGGAGTCGAGCGAGGGGCAAGGGGATAAGATCTGCTCGTCCATTGATAAGTTCGATATCCCGCCGAAGAATGCTCCGATCGAGAGGCTGAAGCGATGGAGGGTGAGTATACCTTTGATCTTTATGTTGAGATTTGGCGTTTTTTGCTTAGTTTGAGTGAAATGTGGACTGGTTGTTGATTGGGAGGTTTGATGTCAGGGCTTATTGTTGTTGGATTTGTTGATTTATCTGCATTCTGACTTAGTTTGCGTCCAGTGTGAGTCATTTTTTTTTTTTTTTTTTGGTTTTTGGTAGTTTTGTTTTGTTTAATTTGTGCACCAGTTTCGATTTTTGAAGGTAAGGGAAAAAAATAAAAAAGGGGGAAAAAGGAAAAAAGAAAGAAAGGAAAGGAGCGTATCTATTGACCTTTTTTTAAATAATAACTGGATATTTAGGTATTAAGATTTAAGAATCAAATACATGCAGTCTTGCTACAAAGAAGGGTTGGTGTATCTATTTACTCAATGCTGTAGTTGCAAATGTAATGTTCATAGATTTTTTATTTTATAAATATAATAAAACTTGGGAAGGGAGGATGTCAGGATCACTGGCTGTTAGGCATTTTCTTGCCGGTTTTGGTTTTATATTTTTGTTATGGAAATATAAGAAGACACTAGGATATAACTACATATCGAAGAGGCCTTGTCTTTGCAGCTGAAGTCTTGGTTCATGCTGTAGAAAGTGTCTAAAGGAATTATGGTTCACCACTTTAAAAGAGTGTGTAATTAAAAATATATCCAGGGCTTGTTCAACTGTAGCCTGATTTTATCACTTGAAGGGAAAAAGAAATTAATAGCTGATTTAGTGACATTTTAGTATATTTTCTTTTCTTGCATGAACTGCACAACTGGGAGGTGGCACCATGATCTTATCCTTGATGAACCGCTACATTCTCTTTTTGGTCACATCCTAACCTGAAGTAGCTTTTATAGATTTGTGATGCCTCCTTTAGGTTTTTTTTCTCTCCATAATTTGAATACATGTTCACAAGTTAATACCTTCACTAGAGTTTTTATTTTCAGGCTCATTCCAAAGCTTACTAGATTTCTGTACTAAATTGTGAACCAGTTAGCATGGTTCACTACATCCTAGAAATCGAGGCGCATCCCTCAAACATTTTGGGGGCACTTGGACAATTGATATAACCACTTTATACATCCAAATAATGCAATGATTCAACTACCTCAAAAAGTGTGCTGAGCAGAATATACTTTTGCCATTGACCCGTTGTAGTTCTGTGCTATGTAGCTCCAGGGGTTACAAGAATCACTCTATATCAAGAGTATCATTCACAGTTTCCAATTATTCAAATACTATGGTCAATTGCAGGACAATTGGTAATGCATAGAGATTGAAAATATTCTTGAGCCTAAGCATCATTATATGCAATTTTCTAACGTTAAGATCTACTGTATTTTCAAATGCAAGTTCAGTTTCAACGCTCCTGTTGATAGCAATGACCCAAACATTCTGCTCTGTTAATTTTTACAGCAAGCAGCGCTTGTATTAAATGCATCACGTAGGTTTAGATATACTTTGGATCTAAAAAAAGAGGAAGAGAAGGAACAGATACGGAGGAAGATTCGATCTCATGCTCAAGTTATAAGGGTAAATTCTTACCCATGTCAACTTTGTTTCAAATTGCATTGTTTGTCCAATAGTTTGCTCATATGCTTGTTTGACTTCCGCAGGCAGCATTCCTGTTTAAGGAGGCTGGGGATAGAGAGGCACCAGGTAGAGAAGTGTCAAGTTCTTTTTTCCGCTATAAGATCTGCTGGCTTTGATTTGAGTTTCTTTATTTTGTCACTATTCTATATTGGGAGCTTTTAAGTGGGAAAAGAACCATGCCTAGTCCGTTGGTTTATATGTAACCTTTGGAAGTCATATTTCCTTTATTTTCTATAAGCATGCCATTAGTGTCTTTGTTCATTTGGAAGTTCTCTGAACCATTGAAAGCGTTTTTATTCCTGGTATCCATCTGGGTGCCTCTAAGCTAATCTGTCCCTCTGCCAATAAACACCCTTCATCACTAGCAGACTGTCTAAATGTATACCTGTGAAGATGTAAGGGTCTGACAGCATGTTCAGGTATATTTGTATTATGCGCACATATACTTGCTCACAAGCGTGTATAAGTTGTTTGCGGTGAAAGTTGATTTCTTCATTGCTGAATCTATTACACGTTTATCGATTACAGATTCAAAATAAAATTAGTCTTTTTATAAGACTTTCTTACACAATGAAAAAAATAAAAAAAAATAAAAAATACAACTCTCTTCAAACAAACGCAACGGGTGTTTATCGCCCGCTGCTTGCGTGGGATCTTGGCCTGTGACGGGGATGTTGATATCCGTGGGCCACCGTCGATCAGATCTGATTGCTGAAAAATCGGACAGAGCTTCGTTGATTCGCGGAGGAATCAAGAAACCGTAGCGCTTATCTCGACGACGGCGAGATAATTGCTCTTCTTAAGATTATCGCAACGGGATAATCTTAAGGAACGGAGCTGGGGAACTGCAGATTTGACGAGCTCCTCTTCTTTATGCCGACGAACTCGATCAATCTCTCCTCCTCTCTGAAATTCGTGCACCTTCAGTCTTCAATCCGGCAGGACTTCGTCTAATCTCCAAAATTCCAGATCTGAAAAAATAAGGGTCCTCGGGCTATATTAATAGGCTCTAAAGATATCCGGGCGGTTAAAACCGCGTAACGACCCATTTTTGGGGCTGGAGGACACCCAAGGGTGTCTCAGCGAGGTCGAGACACCCTTGAATGTCTCGGCCAAGGCCGAGACACCATGAGCTGAGACACCCTTGGGCATCTCGGCCTTGGCCGAGACACTCTGGGGTGTTTCGCTTGTGCCGAGACACCTCGGGGTGTCTCAACTCAGGCTGAGACGCTTCTTTTTGTATATTCGTCCGTACTCGTCGTAATTTCTTCATCCGAACTCGGATTTGAGTGATTCAAAATGCGTTGGAAAGCTGACGAGGAATTCTATAAGCTCTAATGATTAGATCATTGTGGATTAAGCTGGGATAGGAGCGTCGTTTCGTCTTTTGTAAGCGACGCGGGACTCTCATTGTGGATTAAGCTGGGATAGGAGCGTCGTTTCGTCTTTTGTAAGCGACGCGGGACTCCCGATCAGTTCGTGTCTTCGTTATTCTGAAATTCCGTTACTTCACGTAGTTCGTCGATTCACTTCAATCGTTCATCGACGTCAATCAAGCTTTTGTAACTTGGATAGCGATGTTCCTCATCTTAGCTCTGAGCTGCTCACGGAGACCTATAGGTAATTTTTAACGTCTACAGATACCCCCTCCAAAGCGTTCCAGACTCGCTTCTTTTATAGAAGAGGCTGAAATACTTTGGATGTGATTGGTCCAGCATTCGATCGGTGTAAAGGACCTTTAATTAGTTTCAACTCTTGGCTCATTCGATTTTTAGTCTATTCGATGCTTTGAAGAATAGCTGAAGTCCTTCCGGCGCTGCGTTTATCGCCTGGCCGTCGTCGAAGTCTCGAGTCTACAACCGGTGAGTTGAGTTTGGCTCGTGTTATTGAATTGACTTAGAACCGACTATCTCCGTCGCATCGACTCTTTCATTGCAACACATTGATTGGCATTGACCTAGGGTTACGCATTGAACAGCGTTGACCTAGGTTTTCAGATCGTCTGACATTGACTTTTGATCGCAACGTGTTGACTGGCGTTGACCTAGGGTTTTGAACGTCGCACATTGACTTTTAATTGCAACCTGTTGACTGACGTTGACCTAGGGTTACGCGTTGACCGGCGTTGATCTTAGGGTTTTGAACGTCGCACGTCGACTTTTTGGTTGCAACGCGTTGACTGCCGTTGACCTAGGGTTACACGTTGACCGACGTTGACCTTAGGGTTTTGGATCGATTGCCGTTAACACAGTTTATACAAGTACGTCTGCCGGAGTATATACAGTTTAAGCTCTTAAGATATTGGAGCATGACGGTTCCAAATATTAGGGCTGCAGGACCAACTGTTAAAGCTGATTCATCTGCATGTGTGGATCTTATCTTGGTGTTGTTGAATACTCGAGTCACGAGACCAACTAACGGAGCTGGTACGTCAATGACTCGTATTTATATAATTTTTAGCAAATTCTCAGCCATCAACGGGTTTAATGAGCCTTTACCGACTACCGTTTGAGTCGGACTAGCATGCAGATTGTTTAAGTTCGTTCCACATGTGATGTTAAGCTAAAAGAGTTAACCCTTTTAGTGATACGATATTGAATACGTAGATTTCGTCTTTCTCCTGTGAAAAGACTAAATAGCGACGTGTATCAGACGTTGACTTAGGATTTTTTGGCAAATCCTCAGCCCTCAACGGATTTGACGTGCTCTTACCGATTACCGTTTGAATCGGGCTTACATGCGGATTATTTAAAGTCCGTTCCGCATGTGACGTTGTGCTAAAGGAATGAACTCCTTTAGATTTGATGCTACGACTTTGAATACGTAGATTTTACCATTGTTACGGGAATACGTGTGTTAGACGCTTACTTATCACTACTTAGGCTTCAGGATAAAAGTCCTCAGACTGGAATTCTGATGTCTTCTTCAATCAGAGAAAGACTAAACCGGTAACGCATGTTAACCGTTGACTTATCCCTACTTAGGATTCAGGATAAAATTCCCCGTGCGTGTGAAGCACGGATTTTGGTGTTATGAATAACAACCTGTCACAATGTCGAATATGTGGGTTTTTGTTCTTTTTTTACGGTTAAAGACTAACCGACAACGCCTGTTAGGCGCTGACTTATTATCTCTTCTTAGGCTTTGGGATAAAATTCCCCAGACTAAAATTCTGGTGTCTTCTTCAATCGGTGAAAGACTAAACCGACAACACGTGTCAGATGTTGACTTATCCCTGCTTAGGATTCGGGATAAAATTCCCCGTACCTGTGAGGCACGGATTTTGGGAGTTGAAAAAAGTGGTGTCTTCTCTTGGGGCAAAGACGAACCCGAAATGAGAGAGGAAGAATTTTATATTCTATCTTCCAACACTGAAGAGGAAGAATTTTATATTCTATCTGGAAGAATTTTATATTCTATCTTCCAACACTGAAGAGGAAGAATTTTATATTCTATCTCCAGTTGGAAAAGAGACTCGAGGTGGGATCTTCACCCCTAGAATCCGGAAAGGTGAAACTAAGAGTGGGATCTCCACTCCGAGAATCGAAAAGATTCGGATAACCCTAACTGTCGGAAGGTTTGATTACCGAACTAAAGATGAATTTTTTGTTTATCGAGAGTGAATTGTGGTTTTGGTCTTAACTGTAGGAAGGTTTGACCAAGCAGGAGTTTGAGATGACCCTAACTGTAGGAATATTTGATCACTCGATTTGAAAGTGGACCTCTCGTTCATTGGAGAAATCGAGAGAGAATTTTGATTTTGGCCCTAACTGTAGGAAGGTTTGACCGAGTGGGATGTTTGAGACGATCCTAACTATAGGGAGGTTTGATCTCTCGATTTGTGGATCTCTCGTTCATTGGAGGAACCGAGAGGAGATTTTGGTTGTGGTCCTAACTGTAAGAAGGTTTGACCAGGTAAATAGTGAGTGTGGGAGTACAAATCATAACAGGAGTGTTGACTTATACAAATCACTCAGTAGGGGTTCTTAGTGTCAAGTGATAAGGACCTAACACGAAGGGGTTTGACAATTCGTCAAAGATTGACAGATCAAAATTCCAAGCATTATGTCCGGAATTAATAATGGGAATGTTGAGTGCACAAACACATAGAAGTTTGAGTGGATTCAACCGAAAAAATTTTTGGTGGTCCCACCGTCAATTAGTCTGATCGGTGGGGGATTTTATGGTGGAAGACTGTGAGTTGTCAAATACCAATGAGAGTTTTGTGTGGGATGATTGATCCAAAAAAGTGATCGAATTTTGTCTCAGCAAAAGAGTATTCGGAAATCACTGTGGGTTTAGTGTTTATTACTTTATTTGTAATGATCGGGTTATCCCTAAGAAAATTACATGTAAAAATTCTTCCGAAAACTTTCCGTTATATGAATCATCCATCCTCAGCTTCCTTCGTGAAACTGGGTCTAACATCATAGTGAGTTACATGATCAGGTTATCCTTAAGAATATTACATGTAAAAATTCTCCAGGAACTTCCCGTTAAGTGTGAGAAACAGTTTAGACTCGTATACCTATTGGAGTATCAGGGAGCAGTTTAACCTCATATACCAATTGGAGGATTGAGAAGCAGTTTATACTCGTATACTCTTCGGAGTGTTGAGAAGCAGTTTATACTCTTATACTTGTCAGAGTATTGCCGTTCTCATTTGGTTTATCCTAACGTTATGACGCCATCTTCAACCAAGGTCTGGATGCTATTCTTTAAAATAAAGCAAGCCTTAGTGGGATGAAGGATCCTCTTGTGGTACGCGCAGTACTTCGGATCCGCAGTATTGTCAGCTTCCTCCTGATTCGTGATGGGTGACAGCTTGATCTTGTTGTTTTCGAGAAGGGTCTCGAAGATGGTTGGAACGTCTTCGTCCTTGAATGAGTATTTTTTTTGGAGCATCGGATCCAAAGTCTTCTGCTGTCTTCGGGGTTGCTGTTACGATGTCTGATTAACGTCAATAACTGTTGTAGGTGCCTTCCCTTCATCATAGAAAATGAGACTCGGATTCAGAAGGTTAGCCATCGGTTGGCTTTTTTCGACCTTCCTCCTTCTGAGGAAGCATTCGGCCTGCTCTCCGCGCTCCTTCAACTCTTTCCAAATATTAAGCGGCTCTACTCTCATAACGTCCAAGATGTTAATGGACAAGTTGTTATGACAGGTCTGTAAGACGAATTCTTCCGTGACGGGATCCTTGCAGTTCATTGCCTGATTACGGAAGCGTTTGATGAAGGTATCCACTGACTCTCCGTCTTTCTGTTTCTCATCGAAGAGTGTTCTGATTGACACTTCAGCGTCATCATCGAAGAAATCATCGAAGAGTGTTCTGATTGACACTTCAGCGTCATCATCGAAGAAATGACCGAGGAACATGCTCTCCAGGTCCTCCCAGCTAGTGATGCTTCCGGGTTTGAGACGCCGGTACCAATCGAAGGCAGGCCCGCGAAGGGTGCCAACGAATGACCGAACCATCAAGGCTTCATTATCGGAGATCATACCTAAGTGGGACCTAAAGTAGATCGGATGCTGAGTGGGCGAGCCCTTCCTGTCGAACGACGTGAAGTTGATCAGGTTGAACTTTGCTGGATACGGAATTGAATCCCACTTTCTTGGGTAGGGAGATAAAATATCGATCCTTTTTATCTCCTGAGCAGACATCAGCGCGTTGATTTTACTCTCGAGGTCCTTTTTTTCTCGTCCTCGTCTGTATCAGATCTTGGATAATTTTCGAGAGGAATAATGCGGCCATCCCCAGTGTTATCATCATTGGTGGGTCTACCCCCAACGTCGTTATTTTTAGTGGGATCATCCCCAACGTTGTGTTCATCTACATCTGAATCGCTACCTGTTTGGTTAGCAGTGCTGCGACGGCTGGACTCACCTAGCTGATTCGACAAAGTTCGGATTTGTTGGTCGTGCATTTGTCTAATCTCCTGCATAGCCATTTCCATTTCGTTTTTGAATGCTTCTTTCTGCTTGGCTAGAGCATCCTCAATGATTTTGGCTATTTGCTCGGTGTTGATCATGAACACTTCCCGAGCTTGTCCTATGCTAGACGTTGTATTGTCAGAGGCGAGGTGTTGATCATGAACACTTCCCGAGCTTGTCCTATGCTAGACGTTGTATTGTCAGAGGCGATTGCGGAACAAGAATCTGAGAGTTCGTCATCGGAACGGATTTCTTCACGGACTCCCTGGTAATCATTATATCCAACGGTATCTAGCTGAAGTTGAGATATTCGTTAGGTTATTCCCGAACTAACTTCTCTTCCTGAAGAAAAATTAGGGTTGGAGTTATTTGAACTAATCGGAGACTTCCCCTTATTGACCACGTTGATAGTAACTGTTGGGAGTTCGTCATCTCGAGCAACCGATCGTCTTTTACAAAAACGCATTGATTTGGGCTTTGATGCTTCAGTAGAGATCCTCTCAAATACCGAGATCCTCTGTGGAGCGGTCTTGGGGCAGCTACACGCTGATAATACTAGCCTGATAATTTTGGTACACGGACAGTAAGAGTCCGCTTTCCGGGTACTTCTTTTTCGAGATTTATTCGTACCCCCAGCCCGATAGTACAACTCATCGACGTTGCAGTCAGAGCAACCTATTGGCTGTTTACATGAATTCTCAGGTATAACGCATTCTTCTGTCTGACGCGTTTTCATCTGAGTAAACATCGTCTTGTTGGCGCCTGCAGGAGTCACACGTTTGGAATCACACCTTTGTGAGGGTGAAACCTTAACGGGCTCCTGGTTTTCTGCACGCACCCCCAATCGTGTTGCAGAAATCAACTCATTAGGAGGTCGCATACTACCCCCAGTCTGGATGTTTGCTCGGGGTTCCTTCAATGGTCCCAAACGTTCCTTAATAAGTGTTTTGCCTCGATCCTCGGGTAGCAGGCCAATGCGATCCTTTAATGAGATTCTAGATTTGGAGAGACCCACGCTGTCATAGGGCTTTATCGGAAGTGCGGGAGCAGGATCTGGAGTTGACGAAGGCCGGAGAGCAACGTCGCCTGCTTTTGCCTTAGGCGCTGATTTGGTTTTTGGCATCCAAACTTGTTTGGATCTCGGCGATCTCTTAACTGCCTCGTCCTTTTGCATTTCCTGTGCTTTTCGCACAAGGATCCGGGCATGCGCAAGCAAGGCGCGACGCTTCTGGATTCGCTCCTCGAGAGTAGGATGGGTTCGTTTGACACGAACCCATTCGTTAATCGGAGGTCGGGAGGAGGATCCCGATGCTGGTCGTAGCGATAGATTAGCCACTTGGCGCTTTCTGAACTCCCGATCTGCTTGGCAACGGAGTCCATCCACCTGATCCAAAACCTTGGCGAATTGGCTCGCAAGGCGTTGGCGTTTCCTTTGACGAGCTCTCTTTGATAGAGTTAGCGCACCTTTAGCAGTCGGCTCCTTGATCGCGAAGGAGTTCAGATCTGCAGATCTGGTCTCATTGGATGTCGGCGGATCGTTGCAAGGTGCAACTGTAGCATTGACTACGGGGAGATCGACTTCTCGGGTCTTCATATCTGGAGACCGGCGGATCTTCTGAGAGGAGGATATCTTTCTGCGCTTATGAGGAGGAGCAGATCTGGAGGAGGAGGAGGAGGAGATGTATTCTTTAAATTTCTGCTGGTCGAATTCGTACTCGACCTCTTCGAACACCGGGATCTTGATCGTCGGCTGCGGCACGACAGCTTCGGCAGCGAAGCTGTTGGCTCCCACTGTGATCGCCAGTTTATTTGCGGTGAAAGTTGATTTCTTCATTGCTGAATCTATTACACGTTTATCGATTACAGATTCAAAGTAAAATTAGTCTTTTTATAAGACTTTCTTACACAATAAAAAAAATAAAAAAAAAATAAAAAATACAACTCTCTTCAAACAAACGCAACGGGTGTTTATCGCCCGCTGCTTGCGTGGGAGCGTGGGATCTTGGCCTGTGACGGGGATGTTGATATCCGTGGACCACCGTCGATCAGATCTGATTGCTGAAAAATCGAGCAGAGCTTCGTTGATTCGCGGAGGAATCAAGAAACCGTAGCGCTTATCTCGGCTACGGCGAGATAATTGCTCTTCTTAAGATTATCGCAACGGGATAATCTTAAGGAACGGACCCGGGGAACTGCAGATCTGACATGCTCCTCTTCTTTATGCCGACGAACTCGATCAATCTCTCATCCTCCTCTCTGAAATTCGAGCACCTTCAGTCTTCAATCCGACAGGGCTTCGTCTAATCTCCAAAATTTCAGATCTGAAAAAATAAGGGTCCTGAGGCTGTATTTATAGGTTCCAAGGACACCCGGGCGGTTAAAACCGCGTAACAACCCATTTTTGGGGCTGGAGACACCCCAGGGTGTCTCAGCGAGGCCGATACACTCTGGGGTGTCTCGCTTGTGCCGAGATACCTCGGGGTGTCTCAACTCAGGCTGATACGTTTCTTTTTGTATATTCGTTCGTACTCGCCGTAATTTCTTCATCCGAACTCGGAATTGAGTGATTCAAAGTGTGTTGGAAAGCTGACGAGGAATTCTATAAGCTCTGATGATTAGATCATTGTGGATTAAGCTGGGATAGGAGCGTCGTTTCGTCTTTTGTAAGCGACGCGGAACTCCCGATCAGTTCGTGTCTTCGTTATTCTGAAATTCCGTTACTTCACGTAGTTCGTCGATTCACTTCAAGCGTTCATCGACGTCAATCAAGCTTCTGTAACTTGGATAGTGACGTTCCTCATCTTAGCTCTGAGCTGCTCACGGAGACTTATAGGCAATTTTCAACGCTTACATAAGTTTCAGCATGAAGTTATTGTTTCTTCTTATTTGCCTGTTAGTGAGCGGGACAGTCTAATTTAATTCCTGTTTATGCATTTAAACTCATCATATTTAGTCTTTTAGGTTTTATTTCACTGACCATCATTATTCTAAATGTTCCTATTTGGTCTACTCTTATACTGCTACCTAATGTCACTGTTACTTATATCTGAATGTTCTATGCATCTTCAAAACAGGTACTCCTGTAGTGCCAGCTCTTCCTAGTGGTGGTTATGGGATCGGAATGGAGCAGCTTACTGCTATGACCCGAGATCATGATTTTTCTGCATTACAAGGCTATGGAGGGGCAAGTAGTCTGATTGTTGAATTATAAACTAGACTATTTGGGTTTGTTGCTTGCTTAACTTATTATCTGCCACCTGCATCTCAGGTTAAAGGCATAGCAAACATGGTAAAGACCAACTTGGATAAGGGGATTACTGGGGATGATGCTGATGTATTGCGTAGAAGGAATGCATTTGGGGCTAATACTTATCCCCAAAAGAAAGGCAGAACCTTTTGGGTATGCCCTGCCTTTAACTTGGTTCTTATTTTCCCATTTTCAGTCGTCAGTCCCTAACAGTGACTGACATTATATTCTTTTCGTTAGGTTTTCCTATGGGAAGCTTGGCAAGATTTGACTTTAATCATACTTATGATAGCAGCTGCTGTATCTTTGGTGTTGGGCATAAAGACTGAAGTGAGTTTGAATTAGTCACTATCTATCTAATATTACTATTTTCAATTGTGTATGATTAACATCATTTTCTATTATTATTATCTCATTTCTTTATACTATTGATTATCTGATATAACCATTTTTCCTAGTTCTTCTTCACTATTTTGCATTGTGATGCCACATAGACGGACTATATGGACATTCTTTCTTGTGATTGTGAATTTAATTTTATCTGTCAGGCACAAGTTAATCCTCAAGCTTCATATGTCAATTTGGATCTCTCAAACTAAAGCTAATAATATACAATAAACGTCTCAGCATGTTTAATTAGCCTTTTATCATATGTCAGCATGTTTCAGTGACTCGTTTCCTTTTGATAAATGAAACAATAAACATGTCAGTTATGAGGAATGAATTCATAGCAAGTATATTTGGGTGTCTAAATTTGTAACATTAAGTATAATCAGTGGAATCTGAAAACTTCTTCTAAAAAGCAGAATATGGTAGACATATATTAGCATGGTGGAGATATGCTTATAAACACTGTTAAAAGAAGAGAATTATTTTATAGGAATTGGTCGTTGCTGTATAAGTAGGATTGCACCCTTTTAATTTTTGTAAATTTGACCTGACTTTTGCATATCTTTCGTGATATCAGAACTTTTTTATGATAAGTTCTTTTCATTAAAAAAGGAATTGATACTGAGCTTTTGCTAGGGCTTCAAACACTACTTGTACTTAATTCAGTTCTAAGCCCTTCAAGCAGCAGTTTGCTTTCAGATTCCATAACTGTTAGAAACTAATCCTATTAACTTAGATTTTGCCTGTACTGTATATTACTTCTTCTTGTATATCTAAGGTTCCCGTTTCTTTTGGTATTTTGTGTTAGGGTCTGAAAGAAGGATGGTATGATGGAGGGAGCATTGCTTTCGCTGTTATTCTTGTTATACTTGTTACAGGTATTCGTTTATTAAAATAATTCTTAGGCATATAATCCTCGGATTTAGTTGGCTGTTTCCTTTTAATCAAAAACACTATTGCATACCTTTGGGGTGCATTTTCACATTTTCATCACATGCTTTCCATTTTAAAGTTATTTTTGTTGTATTTTCAAAATCTTATTATGACGACTGAAGTATGGAGTGATCCTCAGAATATTACGACATGACTGGAAGATTGAAAACTGAACTATTAAAGAGGAACAAAGGCCTCCCAGACTTGAATGTACCATAACCCTATTGAATAAGATTTAACAAATGAACTTAGCGAACTTCCACATGTAAGATTTTGATACTTCCACATGTAAGATTTTGATGCAGGTGGATCTTATTTGCTCGATTCTCACATGAACAAATTGACAAGCTTGAACAACGAACCAAGCAAAAATCCTTTATAAGAATCAGTAATTTAGTCATCTGCTATGTCACCTATAAGACATAACTCCCAACTAATAGGCTAATACATCCAAATGCATTAACTCTTTTTTTTTTGACAATTTGGATTTGATCACTTACTGAAGATCCAAATAACTAGGAAAGCTACTTGAATCAACTATTATATAAACATACATATGAGATTCGAAGTTAGGATTCAGTTTTTAATATATCTGTCAACTTTGGTGGCCACATTAGTTTTAAACATGTCTAGCTTTGTCATAAGTAACCTAGAAGGCACTGAATTCGAAGTCGTGTCTGTTAATTGAGCCAACTGTTGTAACATGACATAAGAAATTTGTAATTCCAATTGGGATTCGACTTACAAATTAAGCTGTTTTCTAGTTATCTTGTTCTCCTAAATAAAGTGTTTTAATTTTGGAGACCAACTTAGTTTTGTAGTGTCGAGAGTTGTTTCTTTATGTATGTTTAGTCCCACATTGGTTAGGGACAAGTCTATTTGTATTTATGATAATAAATAACATCCAAGAGAGGGAACTAAGTATCCTCTTTGATTACTTCTTTCAACATGTAGTAATCTATAATCATCACCATTAACCCAAACACATTGGCAGGTAACTTGATGAATCATTAATATAATGAAAGCTTTAGAAGATTTTGACCTTGATTAATATCCAAACCTATCTCTGTCAGTCAACTTATGAAATGTGGATGTGTTTTTTTGAGTTAGTTTTGGATGCTTCAGATTGCATATTTATTCTGGTGACATCTAACATGTTAGTCTATTTTTTCTCTTAAAGGTTGCAAACTGCACCAATTTTTTCATATTCACCGTTAACCCTAACCCGACCTCACAGGACATTTGAAACTTACCATTGGCTGGGATGTCACCTGCCTTAACCAAATCAGACTTCTGGTTGGGTTGAACCAGGGGTCCAGGATAAATATCGTGTTTATAGTTTTTCTGAGTAGATCTAATAGTATGTATATTATATATAGTCAGACGTGATATCAGTCAAATCAATAGTAGAAGACCCTATTCTTTTTAATTTTTTTTAAAACTATCATTAACTTGCTTCATTATGCCTAGTTACCACAATTTTTCAGAGTACTCCCATCTGTTCTATTAAAACACTTAATTACAGTAGAGGCACTCAACAAAATAACAACAAAAGCAACCTCATTAAGTCTATTATTGTTTATTTTTCTTCTTTTCCTAGTTACTTAGAATAATATTTTAGTGTTCTTATTTATTTGTATTTTGTACAGCCCCAAAGATCTTTTAGTTGGAAGGTTATGTAGATTTTTGGCTACTCTGTGATGTGGGTCTAGCTATCAGTGATTAAACATAGACTCAGTTACTTATTGAAAAAAATTATATGCTTCTCGCAATTAATTTATAACATCTAGCTCCTTCTGTCTACCTTGTCCAGCCATCAGTGATTATAAACAGTCACTTCAATTCCAAAACTTGAATGAGGAGAAGCGGAATATACATCTTGAGGTTTGTGCTGCCACAAAACTTTTTCTATTAGATGTTGAGTTTTTTTCCTTAATCTTACACACGTGTTTACAACTTTTTGTGGCATACATATTTCAGGTGACGAGAGGTGGCAGAAGAGTTGAAGTTTCAATTTTTGATCTCGTTGTTGGTGATATCGTTCCTCTCAAAATTGGTGACCAGGTAGGTTGTCAAATAATGATCTTGTTTAGCTTTAAGTTTTACACAGCAGTTGTATATTTGTGTACCTTATTGAATAACTGATACGTGTTTTCCAGGCTTCCTGCTGCATGGCATTTTGATTTCTGGTCAGTCTCTTGCAATTGATGAATCTAGCATGACAGGAGAGAGCAAAATTGTGAGTAACTCTCTTTTTTTGGGCATCATTATTGTGTGTATAATTTCTTATTATCACACTATAATGCTTTACGCAGGCCCACAAGGATCAAAAGTCACCATTTTTGATGGCTGGGTGCAAGGTTGCTGATGGTTATGGTACTATGTTGGTGAGATATTACACTATATTTGATGGATTCCTGTAGCTATTTGTTTAAATGACCATTCTATAATGCATAGCCTAGTTTTATCTGTATCAACTTTGTTTTGGATACTAATTAGTAATTACTACTAAGGGATTCCCAGGAAGAAGTGAGAGAAAGGAAACTTTTGTTTATCTGATATGATATTGTATTATTGTGCCAACATCTTTTTTGCTACTAAAAAGGAGTATGATTAGGGATAACTGTTCAGGAAGATAATGGGACAATCTAACAAGTTACGAAATAATAATCAAATATTAAAAATATTTGATCAGAACGGATCAAATGATTCATTGAAAACGAGAGCAGATGCGTATGATGTATAATCTGTGTGAACATAAATTTGTTTAAAATGCACTCCCACTGATGTGTGCCACTATGATACTCTTTGCACCACTACCTAGGTAAAACTGATATAGAAAGAGAATTCTGATGGCAAATTAGCATCAGAATTCTCTTCAACTAGAAACTTTTGCTTGTTCACTGCAGCTTCATGTGGGTTGAGTTGTGCAGGATTATTAATTTAATTCTTGTGTGGGTTACCTATTCAGGTTACTGCAGTTGGAATCAATACTGAGTGGGGTTTATTAATGGCTAGTATATCAGAAGATAATGGTGAAGAAACTCCTTTGCAGGTTTGCGTTCTTATTGATCATAACATTTTTCCCGGCCATTTATTTTTAAGCTTTCCGTGTCAATCCATATTTATGTATTGTTTTTGAAAAGGTGCGCCTGAATGGTGTTGCTACCTTCATTGGCATAGTCGGCCTAACTGTTGCTTCTTTAGTTCTTGTTGTCCTTCTGGTCAGGTATTTATCCTTTTGCATCTTTTTTTCTTCGAAGCAGCAGTTTATGAAGATGCAACATTAACAATATTTTGATGGTAATATTCCAGGTATTTTACTGGACATTCCAAAAATCCTGATGGGACAATCCAGTTTGTTAAGGGACACACAAGTCTTAAGGAAGCAATTAATGGAGCTGTCAAGATTTTGACTGTTGCAGTATGTATTGATATTTAAATATTGCTTTCATATTCTGTTTCTCTTGCAATATTACTGATCCATTGAACTATAACTAGGTGACCATCGTAGTTGTTGCTGTGCCTGAAGGGCTTCCGCTTGCCGTGACTTTGACGTAATTACCTGAGAACTGAAAAATCTATTATCTTCCAGGAATGTGAAGATTTCTGTTATTTCCTTTGCTTCAAGATATACTTATTTCTATCCTTTATGTTTTCAGCCTTGCTTATTCTATGCGAAAGATGATGAGGGATAAGGCTCTGGTGTGCACCTTCATAAAATTGAAGGGGTTATCCTTTCTTCGATGTGCATGTTTTGAATCTTTTGGTAATATAAATGATTGTGTTACAGGTGAGAAGGCTTTCAGCCTGTGAAACCATGGGATCGGCTACAACAATTTGCAGTGATAAAACCGGTACTCTCACAATGAATCAAGTAAGTCATTTTGATATCTTCTTGGTGCAATATGGTTTTCTTCTTCCATTTTTCTAGTTATTGCGAATTCAAAGAGAAAAGTTCCCATTGTTTGAAGTTCGCCATCCTATATGTTTCTCCTCATGCTGTTGCATTTGCTTTTGTTGTTATGTTTTAAGATGACTGTTGTGGAGGCTTATGTTTGTGGAAAGAAGATAGATCCCCCAGAGAATGTTGAGATGACGTCTTCCACTGCATCACATCTATTAATTGAAGGTATTGCACAGAATACAACTGGCAATGTCTTTGAGCCTGAGGTAAAACTTTCCCCGTAATCCTTTTTCCTGTTCAACTTGTCCTTTGATAGTTCTCCTCTTTTTTGTATGAAAAATAATGGCATGGAATGTTACTGGTGCTGCTGTTGGGCATTTTGTCTGTCTTCTTCTTGTGCGTGCATGCGTGCATAGGAATTGACTACAACATACACAGAAACTTTGTTATTTTGCAATCTCAGCATGTTTACTTATTACTGCTACTATAACTATTTCTAAGTCCATGTCATTCTTACTGTTATTTGTAATATTATTAATTCTTGTTATTGTTACCATTATTATTCAGTGTCTTTCTCCTGAGGACTGGATATTTCTTGCTTTAATAATCTGCGGTCATGTAATTTGCTTGACTATACTGGCGGAGACAACCAAGATATCAGCTATACAATCTTACCCTTATTATGAAGAAGTTACCTGATTTATAACTGCACAAATGATTGCTTAGTCAACAGTTGTAGAATGCCCATATATGAGCGTCAAATTCAATTCTTATGGAGCAAGACTTATTTATCTGTCTCACATTCTATATTTAACTATATTTCTTTAATTTATTATGTAACATCTGATTACTTTCCTTTCTGAGAAGACTATTTTTTTGGTGCAAATGGATGCCTCTACTTGTGCATAAATGTGTGTAATTTCTCACAATTCTGCCAAGTTGTTTCTATATTTCTATGTTAGTCATAGAGTAGGACTGTTTTGACATATGCAGTTACTTGTTATGGACTAAGACTCCCATACTAACAGGATGGTGGAGCTATTGAGGTTACTGGTTCACCAACTGAAAAGGCAATCCTTTCTTGGGGGGTCAAGGTACGTTTTTCTTCTCGGTTTTATCACTTCCTTTTGTTTTGTTTCTTATCTATTGTTGATTGCAGTTTACTGCCCTTGTCTGCAGTTAGGGATGAAGTTCAATGATGCAAGATCCAAATCATCTATCCTTCATGTGTTCCCTTTCAACTCTGAAAAGAAACGTGGAGGTGTTGCACTAAATGTGGTAATCACATTTCATATTCGGGAACTATAATGTTAATTTGACACGACAGACTTATTTTAACATTGCTGCAGTATAGGAATGCATCACTACTGCATGTGCACACAGCATGTTATAAAAAAAAGTATAACATTACCTTTCTGTAACTCATTGTGGAGTTTAAAGCTTCTGATATTAGCTGTAATTCATTCTGGAGCTGAAAGTGTTTGACATTTGTTATCATATAGTGGCTTTCACATCAGACATAATTTTTCTGATAAGATTCATTTTTAGTGTTATTTACTGAGAATGTTCTATGTCATTTGCTGGTCTCTTTTAGTTTCATCTCAGGGCATAATGGGCGTGTATGTGTTGTCTTTCCTTCTTTTTAAGCTACATAATGGATGTGTACATGCTCTCTTTCCTTCTTATTAGTTTCATCTCAGGGCATAATGAACGTGTACATGCTCTCTTTCCTTCTTTTTAAGCTACATAATGGATGTGTACATGCTCTCTTTCCTTATTAGTTTCATCTCAGGGCATAATGAACGTGTACACGCTCTCTTTTCTTTCATCAGTTTATACTAGGTTGTATGCTGGACATTGCACAAGCTAGCATGCCTTGCCTAAGGCACAGTCTAACATGTCTCGCCTAAGGCTCTATTTATCCTAAAGGGTAGGGAACACAGATTTAAACTTGAAAATTCAGGGAACAATGTAAATTTGTCCAACCCTTTGCACATTGCCCAAGAATCTGGTGTGACAAACGTGTAATTTTTTTGTTGTCTTGGAAAACAAGCTCTTGAATGAAGTGCTTCTGTTCTTCATATAATTTCAGGGAGACTCTGAAGTTCATATTCACTGGAAAGGAGCTGCTGAAATAGTCCTTGCCTCATGTACAGGCTGGCTAGATGCCAGTGGTTCAGTGGAGCGAATGACTCCCAATCAGGTAAGATTGTTTTTATTTCTTCTGGAAATTTTTTGATTTCTTCTTTCCCTTTTTCTTAATTAAAACTTTTACAACATTCTGAGTTTCTTATGGAATTTCAGATGGATGAATTTAAGAAATTTATTGAAGCTATGGCAGAAGCTAGCCTTCGCTGCATCGCATTTGCTTACAGACTATATGACTTGGGAAAAGTTCCTAGAGAGGAAGAACGAATTAATTGGGTGTTGCCTGAAGATGACCTGATTCTGCTTGGTATTGTGGGAATAAAGGTAGTTTACCTTGTTGACAGATGTGCACAACTTTACCTGATTGACACATTTATATTGCCTCTTGAGTTGATAGACATTGATTTTATTCACATCATTTTTGTAGCTTTTATTCTCAATCTTGTGTTTTATGCTTTGCTTAAACTATGTGACTGTAGGATCCTTGTCGACCTGGGGTCAGAGATGCAGTAAGGTTGTGCACAAATGCTGGTGTGAAGGTACTTTTGAATCTTGTCTAGCAAAATGTATTATCATATGTTATTTATATGTTCCTAATATTGAATAGAATAATGCCCTTCTTCGTTTTTGTTGCTTGAAGTTCAATATTTGATTGCATACCATGTTATATTTATCTCCCTTTTCGGATAGTTGCTGTTCTACAATATCAGAATTAGATGTTTACAGTGGGTGTTAATCTTATTTATGATGGAAATAATTTATACGAGGTGACGGCTCATTTTGCTAAGCGATCTACCAAGTCATGTGATGAGGCCCACCCTAAAAGTCACATCGAAAGGTGTGGACCTCACACTTTTATCTCTTGGTAGCTCATTTTGTTAAATGGGCAGCCAGTTGATAAGCATCAGACCCATTTATGATTGAACACTTAGCTCTTGCAAAGAGAATTTGTATACACTCTTTTATTGCGTAAGTGTTTTGATAAATATCTTGCCAACATCTAAGCATCAAATACATATTACTGTTTGATTGCATTAGCAAACTTCTGCAACTTAAATGTTCAAAGTGGCCTTATTTGACTAGAATTGTATATATTAAGCTCTTTGTTTTAGTCATTGTTATTCAAGTCAGAAGTGCAGTTTTGCTTCCATCAACTCTGAAAGAGGGCATTCTTACACCAGTAATTTGTTATGTAAGCAGGTGCGGATGGTCACTGGAGACAATCTTCAGACTGCTAAAGCCATTGCTTTGGAGTGTGGGATTCTCAATTCTGAAGCTGATGCAACAGAGCCAACTTTGATAGAGGGAAGAGTTTTCCGTGCGAAGTCTGAAAAAGAACGAGAAGCAATTGCTGAAAAGATTTCCGTATGATTTATAGAACCTATGCCCTTCTAATTTCAGTACATTTCTGGCATGAAATATTGAGTTGCAGGCTTACTTGTCCTCATCGTGTGGACTTGAATTAAAAAGGAGCATAAAACTTCTTGCAGTTGTTGCATTCAGCATAGTAAATGAAACTAACTCAGGTATGAATGTATAGGTGATGGGAAGGTCGTCTCCTAATGACAAACTTTTGTTTGTCCAAGCATTGAAGAAAAGAGGTAATGTGGTTGCTGTCACTGGTGATGGCACTAATGATGCTCCTGCCTTGCATGAGGTGTGCTATATTTTGTGGTGTACTTAAGTCCATGAATAGCTGTATTTCTCAGGTACTGCGTTATATTTCATGTTATTACTTATCCACTTGTTTTCTGTTTTTTAGGCAGATATTGGTCTCTCAATGGGAATTCAGGGAACAGAGGTTGCAAAGGAAAGCTCAGACATTATCATCCTTGATGACAATTTTGCATCAGTTGTAAAGGTCTGTCTATATGTCACTTAACTGTACTATAGTCAGATCTGATACATATAGATGTGAGGAAACAACATGATGATTTATGGCTTTCATTTAGGTTGTTCGCTGGGGTCGATCGGTGTATGCAAATATCCAGAAATTTATCCAGTTCCAGCTAACTGTGAACGTTGCAGCAATTGTCATTAATGTTGTTGCTGCTGTTACATCTGGTGCAGTTCCTTTGAACACCGTGCAGGTTTGTTATGATACTACTTTCTTAGGTTTCTTCCTTTCTCATATAAAAAATTCATCCCACTACCATTATTATAGTTAATAAAAAGCATACACTAGTGTTTCAAGCCACTAACAGCTTACGAGTTTGGTCTATGGTAGTATATTTTCCTTTCAAATCAATTTATGATGGCCACTGCGATCCATATTAGACTTTTTCTTAAGAATATTCAAACATATTTAGCTGTGATGTGGAAAAACTATGCAGTTGTAACTGAAATAACAGAACAGCACTGTGATATCTATTTCCTGAGCAAATACCAGTAATTTTTAGCTCTTTTAGATCCTCATTTATTACTGAATCACCACTTCTCTTGCCTATCCAGCTTCTTTGGGTTAATCTTATCATGGATACTCTTGGAGCACTTGCATTGGCTACTGAACCACCGACTGATCACCTTATGATGAGACCTCCTGTTGGTAGAAGGTTAGAATTGTTCTAATTCATTTTTTACGAGAATAGTTCGGCAAATTGCATTTCCTCCAGCTGATTTCTTCATCTATATTGAGTTTATCAGTATTTGTGCTCTATGTATATGGTTATTGGAGTCCTTTTTGCTGATATTTTCTGTGCTTGGTCTTGTTTTTATATGTTATTTCTGAAACACAGAGAATATGCTTATTTATGTGTGTATAATATTAAAAATATGTATGTATGTATGTATGTATGGACCTTTTAATGGAAGATGTCAAACATCGACATCCTTTCACCTAGATGGCATACTAAACTATCTTGTCCAAACAAGATCGTATTTAAACTTCCTTCTGATACGTTTTATTATACATAGATGTCAGAAACATTTAGGCTTGTCATCAAACATGATATGTAGAAGTCCAAATCGGTGCAGTGACATATACTCAGGTAATTAATATATAAAGAATAGCTACAGTTGCATATGGACTAGTGAAGATTGCGGAGCAGTTTGATTTGGTTCTTTTCTCATAGGAGTATTGTTGGTAATTTTCTTTACCTTCAATACACTTAAGATTGGGTTAACAGAGGCTTTCTTTTTAGTTATGTTTGTACAGAACAAATGATGTTTAAATGGACGAAATCACTCTAATGGTTTCTGCAAATAAATTGCTTGATTGTTATGGCTGTTTAAATAGAATCTCAGAATCCTTGTTTAAATAGAATCGCCGAATCATTTCTGGGGATATGGTTTCCATACTAGTAGAGGCTTTCTTTTTAGTTATGTTTGTACATAGAATAAATCATGTTTTGGATGAAACCACTCTAATGGTTTCCATACTGATAAATTGCCTGATTTTTATTACTGTTTAAATAGAGTCTCCAGATCCTTTCTGGGGATTTGGAGTCTGGTCAATGGGATATTCTTGCTTCCTTCTTGCTGTGCAGGTAAGTTATTCTCCTAGTTTTCTGTTTACTGATGTTTATGAATGCTTGATCAGGGAACCTCTTATCACAAATATCATGTGGAGAAATTTGTTCATTCAGGTAATACTGCTGGTGCATAACATAACATATATCATATTATACGTGCATACATATACATATAACGTATATATAGTTAAACTTTGGTTGCTTTTCTTTACTTGTGACAATAGTTTGTGGATTATTACTGCAGGCTGTATATCAAGTGACGGTTCTCCTTATCGTTAATTTTGCTGGTAGGAGTGTTATGCATTTAAAGCATGACACTCCGCAAGAGGCAGATCGTGTGACAAATACTTTCATATTCAATACTTTTGTCTTTTGTCAAGTAAGCTTCAACTATGCTCTCTCTCTTGAGCTAGATTACAATGATTTTTTTTTCTTTTCAAGACCAGTTATATTCTGTCATTTTTCAACAAATGTTCAATTGTTCGTCTGCACAAACCTTTTTTGCTTTCTTTATTGGATGAAACTGAATGCTTTAATTGTAGTTACTTAAAGGATGCTCCTCTTCTGCTTTCTTCATTCCATTAGAATCATGACTTCATCAGATACTGACTCTGTATCTCTTTTTCAGGTATTCAATGAATTCAATTCTAGGAAACCAGATCAACTGAACATGCTAAGTGGAGTGACAAAGAGTCATCTATTTCTGGGAATAATAGGAGTAACTGTTGTCTTTCAAGTGAGTGTAGATCTATATATTATCTATCTATCTATTACTCTATTACTCTATTTAAAGAATTTAAAGAAAGCCGGACGCCGGTCGCTAAATTTGGTGTTTCTATCCCTAATGTGTCACAGTTAAGCAAAATTCCACTTAATGTCCTCATAACCACCGATGATTTACAATTTAAAAGAAGGGAAATTTTGGAAATTATAATACAAAATAATAATAATTCAAAATTGTCAGCACTTTCCCACGTCTTAAGACTCTCAACTAATTCGTAACCATCTCATATTTCAAATTCAATCTCAAATAGTTATTTTCATAATCCACCAGCCCATTACTGTCCATATATATATATATGTATATGATAACTACAAATCCCAAGTGAAGCAAAGTTGCATCTAGTTTAGTCCTCTTGCTTTTGTGGGTCTTTACCTCTCTTGCCTGGCTAATCACATAGTGTTCTTCATCTCTCTCTCTCTCCTATTTTGCAACAAGGTGAGTCTCTAATTCCATGCTAGATTGATTTAAAGCTTTTTGTTAGTAACAAATATATAAAAAGATTTCAGTACAATAGTGATTAAGAGATCTGTAAAAGATTACTTTTAGAGCCTATGGAAATTGTAAATGTGTTTAGGAACCAAAATAATGAAGTTCGTCATAAGAAAGAGGCTGAAAGTTTTCAAATTTATGTGCTTTCCTACATCTCTAATTTACCTTTGTGGATAAACATCTTCCGTGAAAATTGAGAACTATGTATCAGTTACCGTATACTTGTCTGTACACTTGCAACATTTTTTTATACACATTTATATCAATCATCAATTATAAGAGATCTGTAAAAGATTACTTTTAGAGCCTATGGAAATTGTAAATGTGTTTAGGAACCAAAATAATGAAGTTCGTCATAAGAAAGAGGCTGAAAGTTTTCAAATTTATGTGCTTTCCTACATCTCTAATTTACCTTTGTGGATAAACATCTTCCGTGAAAATTGAGAACTATGTATCAGTTACCGTATACTTGTCTGTACACTTACAACATTTTTTTATACACATTTATATCAATCATCAATTATAAGGTGTCTGTACTTTTTATGCAAAAGTGTGTAATGTGTCATGCACACATAGCATGCAGTAGAGTACTAGTTATGAATAAATGCAAGTGATATTATCCTTTTCTTTTTCTTATCTCAGCCTACTAACTTTGTATGTGTTTTGTATGCAGATTCTCATTATCGAGTTCCTCGGTAAGTTTGTCACAACAGTCAGACTGAGTTGGAAACTGTGGCTGGTTTCACTTGGTATTGCCTTCCTTAGGTATGCCACGATCATTCCTTCTCAAATTCGGTAGTGGTTGCCATCTGTAGCTTTTATTTGTTCATGAGCTATTCTCTAAAAATCAAACTACTTGAAGACAACCCAAAAACTAAGTAGATTTTATTCATGAACTTATGAAATAATAGTATTTATCCGCAACATTTTTGTGTTATAACTAAAATTGGTTTGTCAAATGTTTGCGCTTTTGCCTGGCCCATGTCATATCCATTCTTAACATTAGGATCTTGTTGATACCCTATTTCTTCTCTCTTCACAGCTGGCCTTTGGCATTTGTTGGTAAGCTTATCCCCGTACCCAAGATCCCGATCCAGGATTACTTCAAGAGGTGTTGTGGAACAAAACAAAAAGGTTCTGCTTCATTCAACTTTCACTTGCTTTATAACTAATTTTCCTGCACTCCTAATTTGTTTTCCCGTGTTGCAGATGATGAGGAAACGGAGAAGCAGGGCGATACGGCTGTTTAATACCCGGTGAAAACATGAAGAACTCGTACCATAAACCTGGCTGGATACATGTAGATTTCGCTGTTTGATACTTAGAAATAGTGAACAAGTGATGTAATTTGTTTTTCTAACTCGCGTGCATTTTCTTTTGACCATGGCCCACCAACCCCCTATATATTTTAGAAATGTCAAATATATAGTTTTTGTTTACGATTCGCCTTCCTGCTTGGGTTTTTTTTTTATGTATTCTGTTTGCCATTATTTATTTCTGTGGCTCTTTTCTTGGTTGCATATGACTGTACTTTTGATTGGAAGTCTCGGTTGTAGTGCCGAATCTACTATGATTGATTTATTAAGTTCGGTTTGCATCGTGAGGCGAGGCGCTGTTCTGTGTGTCCAAAGAAATTCACTTTCGAACTTTAGATATCAGTAAATTCCTCCTCTCTTTATTAGGCAAGACATAATAATTATGCTTTTGATTAGTGAAAAAAGTTTCAAGCATCAAGCTGATCGAGCATCTGACATTCGCATGCTACATGTGCGTATATATTTGATGGGACTATACATTCCTCAAACCAACAAGTGTTCGCAGCATGTGCCAATTATTCGATAAAACTATTTTTTGGGATCTTTGCACATGAGACCTAACTGCCGCCCTCCATACACTTTAGTCCACTTATTATAGAAAAATTGACAGTTAATTGTTGGAAGAATATTTTCAATGAGAAATAGTCTTCACGGTTCAATATGAATCTGTGATTCGGTGGTCCACGGGCTAACGCACCCCCGATATAGGTAAGATCATACGCAAGCAGCGATCCAAAACGATTCTGCGTGTGTTTCTAAGGAGCATTGTAATTTGATTTTTTGTTTTGTTTGTTGTAAAGAGTAGTTTTACAATTACAAAGCACGAAATTTGTTTTTTTGTATTCATTGAATTCTACAACAAAACTTGTTCCTGACACAAACAATAAACTGAGGGTTACAATCTCATATTCTCACACGTTCAACCTTTACTAGAGCTCTAGACTTTTGATGCCATGAAAGAGTTCTCAAGAATAGTTAATTAACTTGTATGAATACGGTAGGAATCCATGAAATTTTGGCGTGAGTATAATGAAGTTCATTCTTTTTGTAAGAGACGGAAACTCCCACCAATAGAATTTACAGTACTACCCAACACTGAGGTGATATGCTCAAAAGTTCAACCACTAAAGTTAACGGTGATATTATATGTAGATTAACACCACCTTAAATATCCGAGTTATATATGTATCTGTGATAATATTATTATGTCAACGGTACTTATCTTGTACTGTACGGGAACGCAAGAAGAAAATAATATATGCAAGCGGATGTCTTGATCAAAATAGTCAAACTTACTAGATGCCTAAATTATATGCTACATTGCAATTTGAGCAATTATATTAAAGATTTATTCTCCACCAAGTTTATAGACAAGTTGATTCATTTGTCACATATCATAAGGATTGTAACCAACGCAAGCATTATTTGATGACGTCAACTCAGCTCTTAAGTTTTCTCTTTCCATCATTTCTGCTAATTATTTAATTGATGATTGGAAAAAAGTACGATTGAGTGCAATTTTCTAAGAGGTACAATAATAGCTATATGTAAAATAAGTCATATATACGTAGACATAAATAGACTGATGTAATTTAGGAAGTTTCTTCGGTCACAAAGAAGACTAGGAGAAGATCCTGATGCAAAGTTATCGTGTCTACAGTAAACACCTATTCGCTACAGTTATCACCAACTGGAGACCCACTAAACTGTAGCAAGAGTGTGTACCTACCACAAACTCCCATATATATAGCTCTCCCCAGCTAAGTTTAGATCATCCCAAGTGTCTCCAATTACGAGTGAAGAGAGAGAGAGAGAGAGAGAGAGAGAGAGAGAGAGACAACTAGAGAGAGTTTCTCCTTAAAAAGAGAGATTGTAACTCCTAAATTTTTCTCATAGTGGATTTTTTTTATCCTTACCCGTGGTTTTTACCCCAAATTCATCTATGAGGGTTCTCACGTAAATATGTGTATTCATTTCATTATTTCTGTTCTACTATTCGCTGGGACATTGCTCTATTGGGCCCTGGGTTTGTCCCAACAAGTGGTAGTAGAGCCTGATTTAGAGTGTGTGTATCTACTTATCATATGCTCTGTGGCTGCCCACCAAAGGTGGATCCTCCATATCAGAAAATAAGTTAGATTATCATTTACCTTTTGAAGACGACGAGTACTATTTACGAGTACAACACTGTTCATAAATATAGTACTATTTACGAGTACAACACTGTTCATAAATATAGTACTATTCACAAGTACAATATTATTCACGGATACGATTACTGTTCATAAATACAGTTACTATTTACGTGAAATAGTAAGAAGCTACTGTTCGTGGTAGAGACAATGGCTGTGAAGTTCGAGATCGAGAAATTCAATGGAAGTAATTTCTCACCGTGAAAGTTGAAGATAAATGCTATCTTGAGAAAAGATAATTGCCTAGCGACCATCGGTGCATGGCCAGATGACATCACAGATAATAAGAAGTGGAACGAGATTGATGGGAATGCTATTGCTAATCTCTATCTAGCATTAGCAGATGGATTGTTGTCAAGCACAGAGGAGAAGATAGCAAAGGAGATCTGTGATACTCTAACGAAACTATATGAGGCAAAATGCATGCATAATAAAATCTTCTTAAAAAGAAGACTTTACACTCCGAGGATGACAAAATCTACATTAATGACCAACCACATCAACACCCTAAACACACTGTTCTCCCAACTCACAACGTTGGGGCATGCAATCGGTGTGAATGAACATGCAGAGTTTCTACTTCAAAATCTACTTGACTTGTATGATCAGCTCATCATCAATCTCACAAACAACGTCCTTACGGAAAATCTAGTCTTCGATAACGTTGCAGCCGCTATTCTTGAGGAAGAAAGTCGGCGTAAAAATAAGGAAGACAAGCAGGCAAGTTCACAACAAGCGGAGACCTTGCCGGTGACGAGAGGAAGATTAACGGAATGTGGCTCCAGTGAAAGTCATATCCATTGTAGATCATAATTAAGAAGTAAGAAGAATATCAAATGTTACAACTATGGCAAAAGGGGGCACGTGAAATCGGAGTGTTGGCACAATAATAAGAGTGGTGATAAAAAGCCTTTAGAGCCATCAACATCTTAAGGATGCGTTGTCAGCACATCAGACAATGGTGAAATTTTATACAGTGGAACAACCACTGTTGATGACGGCAGAAAGAGGTTTGCTAATGTCTGACTTCTAGATTCAGCAGCCTCCTGGCACATGACCTCCCGGAGAGAATGATTTCACAAATATGAACCTATCTCAGTAGGATCTATATTCATAGGTAATGATCATATCTTAGAGATTTCTGGTATTGACACTATCAAAATTAAAAATGTTTGATGGTACAATACGTACCATTCAAGATGTGTGACATGTGAATAACTTAAAGAAGAATTTATTATCTTTAGGACAATTAGATGAGCTCGGGTGAAAGACCCATATAAAAAACGGGATCATGAAGATTGTTAAAGGGGCACTTGTTTTGATAAAAGGGGAAAATATAGCTGTAAATCTATATATGTTCAAGGGAGAAACCATGTCGGAAGCTGATTCATGTATAACATCAACTAGATATGGAGAATAACAAACCATGATTTGGCATTACGAATTAGGCCACATGTCAAAACGAGGCTTGAAGATTCTCTCAGATCAGAAGCTGCTTCCTAGACTTAATGTGACAACTCTTCTATTCTGCGAGCATTGTGTTACAAGTAAGCAGTATCGGTTGAAGTTCAACACATCGAGTTCTAGAAGCAAGACTATTCTAGAACTAGTTCATTCTGATGTATGGCAAGCACCAGTTACACTCATGGAAGGAGTAAAGTACTTTGTGTCATTTATTGATGATTACTCCAAGAGATGTTGGGTATATCCTATCAAGAAGAAGGTGAATGTGTTCTCAATCTTTCAAGCCTACAAAGCGCGAGTTGAGCTTGAATCTGAAAAGAATATTAAGTGATTGAGGTCAGATAATGGAGGGGAATACACAGATGATAAATTTCTTGTATTCTGTAAGCAAGAAGGCATCAAAAGATAATTCAGTACTGCTTATACTCCTCAACAAAATGGAGTGGCGGAGCGAATGAACAGAACTCTGTTGGAAAGAATAAGAGTAGTGCTGACAACTGCAAATATGGATAAAATCTTTTAGGTGAAAGCAGTAAAAACTGTTTATTATGTGGTGAATCGATCTTCATTAACTACAATACAGTTAAAGACACCGATAGAGATGTGGACCGGTAAGCCAGCTGATTATGCTAACCTCTATATATTTAGAAGTCCAGTGTACGTAATGTACAATGCTCAAAAAATTACAAAACTAGATTTAAAACCTAGAAAATGTATATTCTTAGGGTATGCTGACGGAGTAAAAGGGTATCGCTTGTGGAATCCTACTGCCCGCAAGGTTATTATCAACAGAGATGCTATCTTTGTAGATAACTAATTACAAAGTGAAGAAAAAGAAAACTGTTCAAGGAAGGACTCAGAGATTGTAGTTGTTCAAGTAGAAAATAATTTAAATTCTTCTAAAGCAATATTGGAGCATGATGTACAAAAACCAGTCGAGTCTGAGGCTCCAGAAGTTCGAAGGTCAACTCGTGAGAGAAGACTACCAACTTGGCACTCGGAGTATATTACGAAAAGTAATGTTGCATATTATCTTTTAACAGAGGATGGAGAGCCATCAATATTTTATGAAGCTATAAATAGCACATATGCATCTTTATGGATGGCAGCAATGTAGGAATAAATTGAAGCTCTCCATAAGAATAAGACTTGGACACTTGTGTCATTACCACAAGGGAAAAAAACCATTGGAAATAAATAGGTCTATAAGATCAAGTGAAATGACGATGATCAAGTGGAGCGATATCGTGCTAGATTGATGGTAAAAGGATATGTTCAAAAAGAATATATGACTTTAATAAAATATTTTTTTGTAGTTCGACTAATAATAGTTTGAATAGTCCTTGCTATGAGCGTTATATTTGACTTATATCTAGAGCAGCTAGATGTGAAAATAGTTCTTCATAGAAATCTTGAAGAAAAAATTTACATGCTCCAACCAGAATGTTTTGAAGAAAAAGAAAAAGAGAACTTAGTTT